TAGTTCACAGCCATGCCTGAGAACTACTGCTCTGCCATCGAGGGCCAGCACACAGGGAGCTAGCCCTCCCCCACAGACTCTTTAGAAAGAAAGGTCGGAGACCTAGGCAGGCAGGCCTCGCTGAGACTAGCCAGCACAGAACCATCTGTCTGGGGATGAGGAGTCTCTGCCCAGTCCTGGCAGGGGCAGACCCAGTTCCCCTGTGCTGGAAGATGTGCAATTGTGTTCTCTGATTACTTCAGACATGTAAACAAAACATGATACTGTACAAACCTGGGCTGGCAAGTACCACAACATAATTTACTTTGAGACATCTGAATTACAAATGCAAAAAATAAAAAGCTAGATTAAAAAAAAAACCCACACGCCTTTGGAAAGCCTTTTTAACAATCTCTTGAGTTAAAAAAACGGAATCTGAGTATGTGGTTAGGCTGGAGCTGCCAAATTTACTTCCTGTTTCCCCCAGAAGGTCACTGGGAATAATTACATTTTCTTGTGAATCTGTCTTTTGTAAAAGTTCAAGCAAAACATCTCAGTCTTCCCAGTGAAGGCCCTGCCTTTGGGCCTGCAGAAGATACAACTCAAGAGTTCAGCTGAAGAAAGAAAGAGAAAGAAAGAAAGAAAGGAAGAAAGAAAGAAAGGAAGGAAGGAAGGAAGGAAAAGAAAGAAAGAAAGAAAGAAAGAGAAAGAAAGGAAGGAAGGAAGGAAAGAAAGGCCAAAGGAGAGGGAGAAGCAGGGGGAAAGGCAGTTAAAATTTGTAAGTTTCGCTGCTGTGTTAACAAGACTAAACAAAACTGTAGGCTTTGAGATGGAACAGAACTCAGGGCCTCTACGCTCTCCAGCTTGTATCACTGAGACTGACAGCATGGTGGAGGGAAAAGCGGGCTTTGCGGCCAGCCGGACTCGGCTGGTGCTGCCGGCTTCTCGGCCTTCCAGCTGTGTGGTCTTGGACCAGGTACCTGGCCTCTGAAGAAGAAACGAAGAGCCTCAGTTTCTTCGATGTAAGTGCAGGCTGGCTGTGCACCGAGGAAGCCAGGCTCAGGGAGTACCTAACACAACCTGTGGGTGTTGTAAGAGTAACACACCAGCCTGTGGCTGGCTCTTTTGGGTTACAGCCTTGGGGACAGCATTCTATCAGCACTGGGAGAGAATCTGTTTCTTTGTACAATGGGAGACACGCTGGTCTGCCACCCCATCCCGGGGTCAAATGGGCTGTTTACCAACATGATTTGCTGTCACTCGCCTGAGAGGGATACAGTGGAAAAAGTCCCTCTAGAGACTCACAAATGCCTCAGAGATTCTCCTGTTTCCATGATGTCCCAGCAAGATCTGGCCATGCTGCTCCCATCCCCCATGCAAAAGGCAGCTTCCCCTACAGCCCCCAGCAGGAGAGAAAGACCAGTTAAAAGAGTGGGGGTGCCTGTCACACTTCTCGGTAACCCCTGACGTGATGTGAAAGTCTACAAGGTAGACCCTTTGAAATGCAAAATCTTCCAGAGTCCTTCAAATGTGTTTTTATTTTCTCGGGCTCCTAAGGCTGCTTTCAGACCCACCCATCAGCATTTCCCCTCTCAATCAATTGGCATTTAACAACTATCACAGGGGTGGGGGGTGGGGATCAAGGACATCTCAATTTTTTTTCTCTAGAAAAGCTCAAGTGTCACCATTCGCTTGGGGGTGGGGGGACAACTTTGACCTTGGCTCCAGCCTCCCAGCACCCGCTCCAAACCATCTTGAAGCCAAGTTTCTCCCATTTTATCATCAAGGCATTAATTTCTGCTCAGAACCTCAGAATATTTTCCTAGACAAGAATACAAGGTCCCTCTGACCCAGGTTCCTTAAGATTAAGACAGACACCATCAAAACCACAACCCCAAATGTACAAAGGCCGAACCTTCAGGGGTCTGCATTAAGTCAAAGGAGTTACCTGAAAACTGTTGTTTGGCAAAGAAAATTACTTCACCATATGAAGAACCCAAGGGAATGGAAACTGCTTTTGAATATAGACTTTTCAGTGGCACGGTCATTAATCATGTTAATGTAAACTGCACTAAAACAAAAATTTTCTAAGCAAGTCTCAGGGCACATCAGCATATTTAAGCCTCTGGGTTTGTTTCCAAAGTTCACATCCCAGCAAGCAATGAAGCTACTGTTAATGGGGTCAGCTATTACTAAGCAGTGCCCCAACCCTGGAGGATAATAAAGGTGACTATGGTGGAGAGAGAGAGAGAGAGAGAGAGAGAGAGAAACCTTCATGAAGTTAGGCAGGAAACAAACAGAAATTAATCAGAGAAGGAGAGTGAGCACATGAGTTTTGGAAAAATGTACTCACTGAACAAGAGTGAACACAAACTCCTCTGGGACAGTGTGGAAGAAAGGAGAACGGTCGGCCTTTCTGGCAGCACCCAGGTCCCTGGGCATTCTGTTTCGAAGCGTGGAGGGCAGGGCAGCAGCTGGACGAGGAGAGGCGGAATGGAGCCCAGCAGAGCTAAGCAGCCCTGAGCCCAGCCAGACCCAGCCATGTGCTCTGTGTTGGCAACAAACCGGTTCTTTCAAGAGAGGAGGAGTCTCCAGAAAGGACAGCTGCAGCAAAGCAAAGAGGCAAAAACCTCAAGAAAGCCCTGGGTTGGGGTTATCCCCTTAAGTTCAAACAAAAACAAACTACCTTCGGTTTGCAGAACTACTTAATCTATTAACACCCGCCTCCCCTCGTTGCTGGATCAATTAAACAGAGTCTGTCCACATCTGGTTTCCATCTAAAACCAAAACTTGTACTATCAGCATATTACATAACAAATTATGCCTGCAGGTTTCTTTTATTACACATCAGAGAGGTGTGCATGGGGGTAGTGGTAATGATGGGGGTTATGCTGACCGGAGTATTTATTTCAGTCTTTTTTTTTCCCCTCTCAAGGGCACAAACAAGTTTCCCATACTGTGCATGATTTAACCCTAGAAAGTCTCACGCCTGAAGGAGATATCAACTGAGTTGGTGGACCCAGCCCGCAGTTCTCAGTGCCAGCTGAAGAGTGGGAGAGAAGAAGGGTGTGCATTTCAAGCTCTGCAGGCACCAGATTGCTCCACAGTGTCCCCTGCTGACAGTATTTAAACATAGCTCTCCCCGAAGAGGAGGAGAGCTAGCTGGCCAGGACAGCCTTGGCTGAGCTTTCTTCATGGGTCAGACACTAGCTCAAGGGACTCACTTAAAGCGAATCGGCTTCCCCGAACTGAAGGATGGGGATGCTAGGGGACACTGAAGCAATCAACAGGGGGCAAAGGAAAGATTAGGAGGGAGAGATCGAGAGAGGGGAGGAAAGAGAGAGAGACCAGGAAATACCAGGGCTGCCTGTAAAAATGTCAGTTGTGTGACTCCCCTGTGAAGATCTTGAAGTAGCTATCTATCTAAAGCTCTTTCCATAACATACCTACTATACTGAAAATAAACGGGAGAAACTGATTAGAAGCATTATCAATCAAAACAGTGAACTACCCCACTTACCCTGCCTTGAACAACCTAAAAGTCCACTTCTGTAGCAATCACACAGCCAGTTTTTCCATAATGCTTGCTTCGATGTTAAAATGAACACACAACAAGCTCATCTTTTAAGGGAGAAAATAACAAGTCCTTGAGCAGAGCAACTTTGAACTGGTCTTAAGAGCATCATGTTCCCTGTTTGGACATTTGGAAGAAAACCGTAGGCATTCCCCAAGCCTCTTAGATTTCTTGCCTCCCACTACATCCAGAAACTGGATCAACACATCCCTAGGTCTACAACTGCAGTTACTACACTTAAGACTCAAACCTTCTTCAACTGAAAGAGGCCTATCACCTGGAACAAGTTAGCCATTTTCTGCTGCTCTAGTGCACAGCAAATGGCAGGTGTGTGTGTGTGGGGGGGGGGGGTACCTCCAGACCTTCAACTCACTGTCAAAACTGTAACTGAGATAAATCCCTGCTAAGTGGACAAATTAAAATGAAACCAAAACCTGGCTCAGTCAGGAGCAGTGAGTTTCATAGGTGGGCAGACTCCACTCTTGCCCAGGACTTCAAATCAAATCGCATCTTTTTAAACTAGAGTCCAGGATTCAGCAAGAAGGGATCCCCTTCCAGGCGTGGAGACTGCTGGGAACACATATGCTAGCATGTCATTTGGAGGTCTGCTAATAAGCTGAAGGGGCACAAGACGTTTGCTTGGCTTCCTGAGCCAATAAACAATGCCATTCCAACTCTTGAAGCAGTCAACAGAAAACAGTCCCTTTTCTCCACCGTCCAACAATTCAACAAACATTTGTTCCTGTTGAACAACCTTCAGCCTGGCTCCATCTGCACCAACTCCTGAGAGACAAGCACCACGGCGGCAGCACAAATGCCCTGCTCAGGGGCCAGGACCGGAATGCAACCCACGGCGGGGGCCACTTTCCCAACACCACGGAGTCCGGATTCTACCGTATGGAATACTCAAGAGTGTGGCCTATAGGAGGCAGAATCCCATTCACCAAATGCTGCAAAGAGGTTTTCTTTGTTCGCCATGGTACTAAGTACAGTACGTGTTAATGAACCCGGCGGTCAGGAGCACGCCTGGCATCAGGGAGCGTCCCAAGGCGAGGGTCCAAGGCAAGCCTGCCCACGCAATTCTAGGACCCTGTCCCGCACCCCAAGCATTGTTTCCCTAGTCCGGAGGTGGAAGAAGAGCTGGGGGGGGGGGGAGGTTGCCCGAGAAGACACTTGGGGCAACTCAAACCACAGACCCTCTTCGGATGCTGGGTTTCCAAGTCTCTTTCATCCCGGTTCCACCAAGAGAAACCCCTAGTTGGGAACCTGACTCGCACCGGCTCGCAAATCAAGGACTGGCAAAAAATGTGACTAGACTAGTATCCTGTGACGGACGGCCCTCTTCGCCATGTGCAAAAACCACGCCAGCACAGGCGACCCCCTCTCCGCAAGCCCTGACCACGGCCACGCTGCCGGCTTCCCCTCCCGAGGCAAAGCGCCCTCTCACCCACTTCGCCACCTCTCGGGCCAGTCGAGCAGCCTTGGAGTCGTCCCTGCGCACCCGCATCCCGGGGGTGGCGGGTGTAAACTTCCGCGAACAAAAGAGTTGTCTGCAAACGATGCAGAACTTCGGGGCTCAGCGCCTTCGCTGCTGCCACAAACCGAGGCTCAAGTTGAGCCTTAGAGGAGGCTGCCCAGGACGCAGCCGTCTCCCCGGCCGGCTGCCCTGCCCGCGGAGCGGACTTTCCTGCAGCGCCAGGTTTGCTCTTCCCCCTCTTGCGCGCTGACAAGTCTCACGCCTGCACCCGGGAGAGCGAGACTGAGCGCCGGCAGAAACCACCCGATCCGCCGCCTAACAAGGAGAAAGGGGGGAAGAAAGCCAGCAGCATTGGGGAAGAAAAGGGAGAGCGCAGCGCCCGCGAGCCGGGCTTCCCCCACCGGCGCCGGGGAGCACGCACCGACCCCGCTCCGGACCAGCCCCCAGGCGCGGTCGCCCAGCCGGGTCGCTTACTGTGCGCGCCGGACGGGGCCGTCACTGCTAGCGCTCGCCAAGTCGTCCGGACTGCCCGCCCGCGTCCGCCGTGCGCACGCTCTCCTGCCTGCGCCCAGCGCTTTGTACCGAGCTGCTCCCGGGGAGGAGGAAATCGACTTGTCACTTCCTGAACTGTTTGCAACTCGTCCCTTTAACTGGCCTCGGCCAGGCCGCCAGTGCTGCCGCCGGGCCGCCCGACCGCGGCTGCGTGAACTCAGCGGCGCTGTGCGGGCGGCGTCGCGGCCCGGGCGCCCAGCGTGCCGCTACGAGGTGCAGTGCGCGCAGCCGCCGGTGGGCGGGGAGTGGGGGGGGTCGCGGCGCGCCTCCGGCAGGGCTGCCGGGTGTCCAGCGAACCCGCACCGCACGTCCCCCGCGCCTGGAAGCCCCGGCCGCGGGAAATAGCCCCGCACGAGTCAGGACAGAAAGCCAGGCCGTGTGGGCTTCGGACTGCCAGCTTCCGGGTTAGGCTCCGCAGTATAAAAGGGATCCCATCTAGGGCGAACAGGACCGCAAGGGGTTGGGGGAGGGCCCTGGAGCGGCCACACTTTAGGATAATAAAGCACTGTTCCTGACTTTGGGTGCGATCGAAATAGAGGAATTTGTACTTCAGATGCCACATCCAAAATACATGCAACTGGCGAAGGAAGGATTTGCGGTTGCTAAGCAGAGGCAGGGCATGTTTAGTTCTGTAACTTAGGATGTTGACTTAAGTGCAGGAATGTAACCCTGATAGAATAAGCAGAGTATTTTCATTGTGCAGCTCACCTGGGGGAGGGGACTATGTTCCTTGTGAAACGAAGCCCTAGATTTCCTATCACTCCTTCCTGCTGATGTATGTCATTAACCTTGTATCCAAAGAGATTTTTAGAGTTGTTTTTCTAAGTCCCTTTGCCTGTTTTGTGTTTCCCTTTGCCAAAAAAACAAAACACCTCATTACTTTACATGGATTGTGTCTGCACCGTTTGAATGGTTCTATTCATAAATCAGGAAACTTTTTCTGTTGCTTCTAGGAACATTTAATTGGTTTTAATCCAATGTTGAAATCCCAGTATCAAACATAAATGAACAATTAACTTTTTGAGTTTGTGTGCACTTGGGAAACTATTAGATTTCATGGCTATTGCTGAAATATTTCAGTTTGTCACCACACTGGACCTATTCTTTTCAGAAAAGCATGAGCTAACCTCATTTAGACTTACTAAAGTTCATTCCAGAGATTTTGCCATAAGATTAAGAAGTCTGTTCACCTCAGAGAGATGATGTGAACACAATCAGATCACCCCCAAGGAAGCCGAAAGTGTCCTAATATACAGAATACAAAGACATTCATATCCATAATACACTATTTTCTTTTTTAAAACGTGTTATGGGCCCATTTTGAAAGGGGTAAGAACCACGTGTTCTGTAAAAAGAAGGTACACTTAATGTCACTTCCCTTCCAGAAGCCACCTCACCTCAGTACTACTACCTTAGCCTCCAAGTGCTCTAAGGACAGTTTAATGCACTAACTTTTTATTGGGAGGCCTAGAGTGACTCCTGCTGGCAAACATTCAGTTTATCCCTGCAATTACTAGTTCATCGGGTCAACTTAAAAAATCAAGATGCCAGGGGTCCTACGCCTGGAAACAATTACTGCAACCATTATTCTTGTGGCTTTCAGGGCCATGTTAGTCTCATGAAATTCCAAAGATGGGGGTTATGGGCAGCTTCTTTGCTCCACCACCTCCTTTTCCAAGCCTAAGCAGCCTGTTTTTCTGGTTCTTAGCCTTTCTTACCTAGGACTAAAACTCCTGCTTAAGGAGCTGAACTACCCAGCGTAGGTGTCTAAATCTCAACCTTCAAGACTAAAAAGACATATGCATTGAGGCTTATGTCATTCTTCCATAAAGGTTACCACACATTTGATCCTTAATGTTAAATGTGATGGCTCTTTATTATAAAAAGTCCTGTCCACAAGGCTGTTGTATTAGGGTTTTAATTCAGAATAGACACAAAGCCAGTCAACTGAATTTAAGATTAGGTATGCAGCAGCTGGGAAGAGGGAGGGGAGTTCAACTGTCTACCTTTGTTCATGCTTAAATAGTCAGCCAAATCAGAACCAGATTTAGAGTACTACCAGACACCTAAACACAAATTCATAGGCCAATTCAGAAAGAAGTCCACAAATCTAAAAAATGACCACTTGTAACTCTGCCATTATCCTGAATAAAAACTAACTTGATTAAAACCATGCAACACCCCGGAAAGTATAAAATGCAAGGATGACTTAGTCTCTTACTCTAAGACCAGTATGAGACCCAGGGATAAAGCAATACTGGTTCTTTTGGCTTTCCCCCAAAAGGAGGACTAGCAAATAGAGGGCTATTTGTGTGCACAGTATGCATCACGTATCCTTCACTGAGTATCACTGTTACAGCTCCCCAACTCCAACCTTACAGCTCTTATGCAACAGGAGACAATAAGGGTGTATTTTATTAAGAAAGGGTGTAACCAACTATAACTTGTATCAACAAGCTAAAGAAGTGTTCACCTAAGCACATCTGTGGAGGGGAGGGTAAAGGTTGCATTTGATATATACTAAGGAGTGTCTAAAGCAGTTAGTGGGTGTTTTATTTTTATGCCTTTAGAACCAGATCAGTGTGATGTTCAAACAACAAAGAACTAAGCTTTGAAGTTTGAGTCGGTGCCAGTAACTGTTCAGTTTCACATCTAACTGTACCTATGTCTAAGAGTACACCACTAAAAATTATAAAAGAATAACCACAGGAATTCAGTTAGACTAACAAAGTGAACTAAACAAATGTCAGACATGTTATACATTGGGCCCAACAGCAGTATGCAGGTGCTTGTGTACCAACCCCTTTATTCAGCTTCTAAAAGCCACTGCGCCTCTTTGTCACACTGCTGTATTAAAAGCCAGTCACTCACATTTCACACTGTTCTTTCTACATCTGAAAAGACCTTTTTTTTCCAAGCAAAACCTTTTAAAATTGCTTATAATAGATTATGGGAAGACAGACATCACCAAATCCACCTGAAATGTTTTCAAAGAGATTGGCTACTGAAAGCAAGTTGATAGAAAATACTTCTTTGGAAAAATATGTAAAGTTTTTGGTCAGAATTAGAGGCCAAAACTCTGAGCCCATCATGGGGCAATTTTCATATGTGGATCTTACTCAGAAAAATTCTGCAATTTTTCCCACATCTACATTGAATTACAACTAATAGCCCTACCTATGAAACGCTTTACATTAATCTTTTTGTTTTTTCCTGTGCTTCTTATCCACCTATGAAAATAAGTTAACAACTTTAGGGCTATAATATTTGTGTGCTTGATATATAAAGCATGATGTTTTAGCTAATTTTGAAGCATTTTGATTCTTAAAAAAATTGTATTTTTTTTAATCCAAGAATAAACCAAATTTATTTTCATTGAAAAATAGCCACAGCAGTGAATTTAATGATACCAATCTCACTCCTGGGATACAAAATAAAAGTTGAAAGCAGTTTGGAGAGGAATGACTATTGAAATCTGCACGTGAAGCTGTGCGGCTTTGTAACCGAACGTCTAGCACCATTGAGGTACGAAAGCATGCCAGCTGGGACGGCATTGTGCATCACAAAGTGTGGGTTGTAAGCCTATGTCCTAAGCACAAACCCCGGTTTCCAAGTTGGCAGGTGCTGAAAACACAGCAAATGTCACGCTTGCAACTCACTGGATGGAAGACCTCTGGGTAAGGCAAGCTAAAAGCTAAAAAGAACAGAGTGAGAGTTAAAACTTGAAAATTAAAACAATTCAGTAGTATCTTTTTTAAAAATTTCCTAGTGACTTTTATTATTATGTTATAAGAAAACATAGGGACGAAAAGCAGGCACTGAAGTACATTCACAGTAAATAAAAAGGAAAAAGTGTAATAACGGCATTCAGTTACTAGCATATGAAAACTTACTAAACCAATCTTATTATTCCAATATTAAGCTTCAAAAAACAAAATCTAGGGGGCTGGAGAGATTATTCAGCAGTTTAGAGCACTTATTGCTATTGCAGAGGACCTGGGTTCAATTTCCCCCATTTAATGGTGGCTCTGCCCTCTTCTGGCCTCCACAGGCACCAAGCACACACATAGTGCACATATATACATGCGGGCAAAATATTCATACACATAGAAGTAAATAATTGTTAAAAAATGAACAAAAATATACGCCCTGATCTATGTATGGCAACTGAAGTAGACTTTAGTGTCACTACCACACAACTAGCCATCTACAATGTGCCTATTACTCCACCAAAAACATAGCTAAAAACAAGGCACAGTATTTTCATATTGCCCTATGTTTAACTTAGAAAATATCTCAACTATACTCCTGAACTATATTCACATGTCCTGTTTTCCAGTAAAAACCATTTCGAGCTTTTTCTTATTCTTTAAAATTCATTTAGTATTTGCAATACAAGCCCAAATTGTTTTTCTCTGTTGAGTCTCTCATATAAGTCACTGCCTCAAGGTAAACCTAATTTAATTTGGACATACTGATAAGCTAAAAACTACTGATATCCTTCCTATTTCCCTCAAAAGGACATTTTCCACTCATTATCGAGGAACCAGGTGTAGTTCATGATTTACCAGAGCTTAAATATACAATCTAATCCCGAATCCTTGGGTTTAAACTACGAAGGGGGAAATTTTGTGTCTGGGTCTAACCAGGAGGGACTGGCGCACCATGAGAACATCCCCCAGCTTGCAAACTTCTGAATCTCTTCCCTGTCCTCAGCAGTTTGCCAATCTGCTGTATTCAAAAGCTAAGGTCTTTTGTTTTCCTTCACACCCGTCATTTAAGAGGGATGACATTCCCCTGGTTGTTTTTCTTCCCTACCAGTTTTGTATGAGTTCTCCTGAAGGTGTAGTGCATCCATACCTGAAGCATAAAGGGAGAGAGATGACTACAGAGCAGAGGGATTTAGTTTCAGTGGTAGACTGCTTGACCAGCATGCATGAAGTCCTAGGTTTAATCCCTGGTATTATGGGGGGGGAGGGCGCGGTGAGGAGAGCAGGGGAATAACTAGTATGAAAGAGAAGTTGACTTCCTATTTTAAAGAATAAATTTATAGGTGATGGACAAAAAGAAAAAAAATTTCAAGACTTGGTAAAAGCCAGGTTAGTCGATCATTGTTCTGTTAAACCACCTTGATCATAGTGTTCTAAAAACATGTCAAGCTTTAAAGAAATTTCTTTAAAATGGTACAAATACTTGTTGGGCATGATAGCAATTGCCTATAACCCCAAAACTTGGAAAGCTGAGGTAGCCAGGACTACAGTGATGCTCAGGAAAAAAACAAATTGAAAACCTACAATTTACTTCACAGGTTTATAATCCCAGAAGTAGGGAGGCAGAGGCAGGAGGCTCCCTGTGAGTTTGAGGCCAGTCTAATCTACGCAGTGAATTCTAAGCAGTCAGAACTACATAGCAAGATTGGGGTGGGAGTGGAATAACCAAAAAAGATTTAAAATTTCTTGGGGTCAACTAGAAAAAGCAGCAGGGCTCGGGTCTGACAGTTCTACAGATGATGTTAGGCACTCTGAAACTATTCACCTAACTATCAATGAGAAGGCTGAAGACATGCTTTCTAGACTAGCATAAAAAAGTGGTTCCCTACACCTTCACACACTCCATTGTCAATTCCAGCATAAACTAAGGACAGATTGGATAAACTACCACTACTCAAAATCAAACAATATAAATGGCAGTTAATTTACAGCAGGGAAAGAAATGTGACTCAAATCAAAGCAATCAAGCCTGGATGATATAAAGTAGAAACTAGCTGTAACATGTCAGTCCACTGCGTCTTAACTAGCCAGTAAAACCCAAGACCCACTCTATTCTCATGAAACCCAGCATCCCTATTTAGTAACCCTCGGAATCATGCCTTGCCTCAGATCTAATGAAGGAAAGTGCAGTAACCTTGCCCATTTGTTTTCAGTTCAAACACATTCACATTAACATTTTCACCACCACATCTACACTTTTTTTTTTTTTTTTTGGTTTTTTCGAGACAGGGTTTCTCTGTGTAGCTTTGCGCCTTTCCTGGAACTCACTTTGTAGACCAGGCTGGCCTCGAACTCACAGAGATCCGCTTGCCTCTGCCTCCTGAGTGCTGGGATTAAAGGCGTGCGCCACCACTGCCCGGCCCACATCTACACTTCTTACCATTTATTACTACTTAAAAGATCATGTTCTCGGGGCTGAAGAGATGGCTTAGAGGTTAAGAGCACCGACTGCTCTTCCAGAGGTCCTGAGTTCAATTCCCAGCACCTGAGTTCAATTCTCAGCACCCACATGGTGGCTCACAACCATCTGTAATGAGATCTGCACCCTCTTCTGTATACATACTAAATAAATAAATCTTTAAAAAAAAAAAAGATTTAAAAAAAAAAAAGATCATGTTCTCAATCTGAAAGGTGTTTTTCCATGCACTCTGAAACACAGGAAAATATCTACAAATTCAGCATGGTGGCATTTACTCTTCATTCTCTTATTAAGTAAGAAGGTGCTTGCTTCAGCACAGTCCAAGTTAAAGGCTAAGGAACGTGTAACCTTAGCTGTTCTGGAACTCACTGATCGGCCTGCCTCTGCCTCCCAAATGCTGGGATTAAAGGTGTGCGCCCAGAATTATTTCAAGGATGTTTTTTGAAAGGCCTACCTTTCCAGATGCTCTTTCTTTCTCTGACTTCTCAACACTCATTTAATCACTCCTACAATACAAACACCTTTCAGTGGAACTGAGTACATTAACGTGGTAGCACTGAGGGGTAAAATCCTAACGATTCTCCTCTTAGTTCCAATGGGAAGGGTTCTTGGAGGAAAGAGTATTTATTTATCTGGCACTAAGCTGCTTGCCATGTACCTTTGCAATATTCACAGCCCTGCGGGGTAGAGTCCACACCTGGTTCTCTCTACCTATCAAGCCTGCTTCAAAGAAGTGGACAGACAATAGTGCCGCCTTGACTAAGCATGACATGATATAACAAAGTTCAGTTTCTGGGCTGAGACGGGCTCAGCGGTAGAATGCTCGCCTTACAGGCCCAAAATCCTAGGATTTATGCCACAGCACCACCAAAACAAAAAGGGAAAACAAAAAAGTCAGCCTTTTTCATCAGTAGGATAAGCAGTTACAGGACAAACTGACAGGCCGCCTAGGCAGGAGGTACAAAAAGACAAGAGTCTCTGCTGCAGAAGAGAAGCATCTCAAAGCCCAAGGCCTTAGAGTGACAAAGTGAGTCATCTGGGAGTATTCAGTTGCTTGCATTTTGTGCGCAGAGGAATCAGGGGAAGATTCGTTAGAGTATCATGATAGTTCCTTGGACCTCATCTTAATCTTACTGTTCTACATGTAAGATGGAAGCAGACTAAACAATAAGACGCAAATTTCTAAATTTATTGGTCAAGTCATCTCTATGGTCAAATGAATACAAACTGAATAATCAAACATATATCAGAAACAATCAGTCACCAAGCACAAGTTTTTTCAGATTAAAAAAATATTCATTTGCTTCAAATATTTTATTACACAGGCATACACATCTTTTTAATAGACAGATACCTTGGTTTAAGAGCCATCAAGCTACCCAACAACTGATACTTAGTAAATGGAGTGTGTAATGTCCTCATATATATTAGAAACCTATTTTGTAGGCCTTGTTCATTCAATCCTAATTTTTAGGGATTTTTGCTGATTCCTTCCCTAAAACCATACATTGAAGCCCTAAGCCCCAAGGCAACAGTATTTGTAGGTGAGGCCATTATGAAATAACCAGGGTTAGGAGAGGTCATGAGATCAGTGTCCTCACACAGAGACCCTGAGAGGTTGTGTATTTGTTCTCTTTCACACACAGAAGTCATGTGAACATACAAATAGCAGCCACCTACAAGCCAAGGAACAAGATAAAACAAACCTGGGGACAGGCATGGTGATGCACAGTGGGTAAAGGTGCCAGCCACCAAGCCTCACAATCTGAATCCAATCCTTGGAACCCACATGGTAGAAGGAAAGAACTAAGCATACAAGTTGTCCTCTGACCTCCACATGCGTGTGTCACATACACACACACACACACACACACAAATAAATAAATGTAAAAAAGCGGCCGGGCGGTGGTGGCGCACGCCTTTAATCCCAGCACTCGGGAGGCAGAGGCAGGCGGATCTCTGTGAGTTCAAGGCCAGCCTGGTCTCCAAAGCGAGTTCCAGGAAAGGCGCAAAGCTACACAGAGAAACCCTGTCTTGAAAAACCAAAAAAAAAAAAAAAAAAAAAAAGCAATGGTGATGGTACCTTGCCAGAACTTTGGAATTCCAGCTTCCAGAACTCTGAGAGAGAAATGGCTGCATTTTAGGCCACCCAGTTTATAGTATTATGGTATCTGAGCTGCATGAGTAGGAAGGAACTTAAAAGTAAAGTACGGTTCTATGGGAAATGGTGCCTACCACCAATCCTGATGACCTGAGTTTGATCTCTGGGGCCCATTTACTTGAGACAGCACATTCACACCAACATGTATATACACATACATGCATGTGCATGCACCAAATAAACAAAACATTTTTTTTTTCTTAAAGTTTACCTTTTTATCTTTTTCCTGTGACAGGGTTTCTCTGTGTGGCCCTGGCTGTCCTGGAACTCACCCTTTAGACAAGGGTGGCCTTGAACTCACAGAGATCCATCTGCCTCTGCCTCCAGAGTACTGGGATTAAAGCTGTGCACCACCACCACCCGGCACGTTTATCTACAGAATGTCCATGACTTATAAAGAAAGGAAAGTGGTTTCTCTAGGTCCAATCCCTTTGATTCTTACTCTTCTACACAACAGATTCACTGACTGACTGAATCACTGACTTTGTGGTACTGGAGAGAAATCCAGGACCTTAAACATGCCAGGCAAGAACTGTACCAATAAGCTGTACTCCTAGCCCTCTTAAACAGACTTTACACAAACTATCTGTAATCATTCAATGAAAAGAACCAAGAGAAGTCAACTAAATTTCAAATTCAAAAATAACCTATTTCATTTGTTTCAAGTCCTTAGTCGAATAGAATGAACAAAATGATCTCTTCTGTTTCTGTAGTATCTTTACCATAGGAAAGCTGCCTCACTAAATGAACAAACCTTTGAAAGAACAGTTTACTTGATAGTGAGGTAAGATACTTATAATATGGCCTTTTAGTTTAATCTAGTTAATTACTTTTTAATTAAACAATAACCATAATAATTGGCACAACTGTAAGTCTATGTGGGACTTTATCCTATCTCTTGAGCAAATTATATTATCAATTATTTGACTCAAGAAGCTTTTTTCACAGAATCAGAGCTTTCCTTCTAAGCCTGCTATGGCTTGCAAGGGGATAAATACATCAAAACTGTATCTTACTTATAACTACTCAAAAATAATAAATATTACTCTCATTCAAAACAACGGTATAAAAGCAGGCTCACTGAAACATCTCCAATGTTCCCTTTATAAATGACAGACATAAGTTATCCCTCATAGCTCTAGGCTTTCCTCCGAAAGCTTGTGCATGGCTCTTTAACTCAGACAATGTGAAAGTCTATTAAATACCATACTATAATTTTCCCCATACAAACTCCAATGAGGCTTCTACAGAAGATATGGAGGGAAAACCTAATTACCATTGCTTCAGTGCATCTAAATTTATTTCCTCAGCAAATCAACAGACTAAGGGCTAGATGCTGTCACAGAAAGGCAGGCGGATATGGAATATAAACTGCTCTTTCCTCCACTCTTCCTCCCTGTGTCTCGCCTCTCCAAGTTCCATGGTTGGAAATCATCCTAATATTTTTTTAAGCCAGGATGTACTAAAATTAGACAGGAACAAAGGCCTGACATTTTCATATTAGCAAGGGGTTAGGAAGCAAATCTGAACTTGAAGCACCCACACTCATCTACATTTAGCCTCTGCCTCTCGAGTCTTTCCTTTCAAAAGCAGCAAGACGCAACAGCAGGAACCAACCCAGCTCAGTTTCTACTCTGCTACTGTCCCTGACAACGAACTATTTCATCCACAGGGCATCAGTGAAGACCCTAATCCACTGGAGTATTCCATATTTCTTTCTAAGCTACTCTGGTATTCTCTAGGACATATAATTGCTGGATCATGTGCTAACGCTTATGGCTTGGGGGAAAACGGAGAGATTACACTCACTTTTTTAAAAGTAGCTTCCAGGCACTATACACAATAAAAAATTAGACACTGATTTATCATTTTCTGATACAGTAATAACAACAACATGTAAAAATGTAACACAGGGGCTAGACAAGTGGTTCAGCAGTTAAGAGCACTTCCTGCTCTTACAGAAGATCGGTTCTAAGCACCCACATAAGGTAGCTCACAACTGCCTATAACTCCAATTCCAGGAGATCCAACACGCTCTTCTTTTGACCTACATGGGCACTCACCCAAATGGCATATTTTTACAGAGACAAATAAAGAAAAAATTAAAAATTGTTTTTAAAAATGTGCCATTTCTTCAGGAAAACAAGAAAATAGTTTCCTCTAGAAAATGAAAACTAGACATGGGGGTTTTATGGCTTGCTCTATTACTTGCTGGGCAGTAATTTACACACATTTTTTAAGATACAATGGACTGCTTGGTCTTCTTCAGTCTTCCTCACAACACTATCAGCATGACAAAAGTACATTCTCTCAGCTCATACATGCCCGGTTTTTGAAGTTCTACTCCACAAAAGCAGAATACTGATATAGTCATGTTTTAGGAATTATTCTTATCCTTTTAATTTGGCTTCCCTGGGCCTAAGCTCCAAGTCCACACAGTGATAGCTTGAAATTCTGCTAGAGAAACCCTTTTAATGATTAGTCTAACTCACTGTGTTATAAAGATTTTTAAAACTCAGTAAGTACCCACTCAAGCTCTCTTTTCTTCATGGTTACTAGAGCCCATCTTGACATCTAAGCTGGAAATGAATGATCTTTCAACAACACTCCAGGGATTTTACTAAGGTCATATTCAATCATTCATTAGGCCTGGTACCCAGTGCTTTTCAGAGTTCCATTGTAGAGCTGGTTTTATTCAGCATTTATGTAGCCTGTGGGCTTGGGTATTTGTCTGCTTAATGTTGAGTTTCATTTCTATGCCCCTAACATAGGAATCCATCAATTGACCAAAGAATTTCAAACTATTCCTTTACTTTCTAACAAATTGCATGGTGTGTATGAAGAATAAATTAGCATTAATTTTCTTCCATTAACTGTTAATAAGACATGTTCCTGCATTCACCCTTCATCTAAGGACATCTCTGTTTCCTGCCTGATCAAAAGAAATGATAAGGATTTTCTAATTTTTTCCACCAGTATGTCTTTAAGTCTACTGTGTTCCTTGCTTCCCACAACCAAGCTCTAAGTTGTGGCAGCCTTCTTCCAGTAAAATATACTGGACAAGATCCTTTCAGAGGCCATCTACACCCCTGCAATTAGCTGGAGTGGTTACTACTGTGCAACACAAGACACTTGGTCTCTTGCCCTGAAAGCTGAGCACTGTTTCTGCAAAAGATAGATCCTAGTTTCCAGAGGCAAAAACAGGAAGTCACAACCCAGGTCTCTCCCTTAGAGACAAACTGATTGTTTGTATTTGTTCTTATTTTCAGTGTAGGCCACCAGACAGAAAAAAGGTCAGATACATTCATACTATGTATATATAGACACAAATCTATAAAGTGGGAAAATTGCATAGTTTGAGCAGGGTGTGGTAGCAAACTCCTATAATCCCAAAACAGAAGATTGAGGCAGAAAGATCAAGGATCAGAGTTCAGGGCTAACCTCAGTTGCAAAGAAGGGTCAAAGCTTGCTTAGATTACATGAGACCTTGTCTCAAAAAGGAGAGGAAAGGAAGAAAAAAAAAATCAAACAATTATGTATGTGCCTCAAAAACTGAGGTTTCTACTGGAATGAGAATGGATGAGAATGAACCCTGTCAGCATGCAGTGGTACACTGCAGCAGTACAGAAATTTTACAAATGTATAAAAGATATTAAGGTCTTTTATATATGTTTGGCTCCCTTCTTTTCTCTAATAGAAGATTGCATGCACATTGGAGAGGAAAAAGAAGAAAAATAAGCTTGTTACTACAATGGGGGAAAAATCAAGTACAATTTGTACTTATTTTTTTTTTTTTTTTTTTTTTTTTTTTTTGGTTTTTCGAGACAGGGTTTCTCTGTGTAGCTTTGCGCCTTTCCTGGAACTCACTTGGTAGTCCAGGCTGGCCTCGAACTCACAGAGATCCGCCTGGCTCTGCCTCCCGAGTGCTGGGATTAAAGGCGTGCGCCACCACCGCCCGGCTGTACTTATTTTAAAATGGCTTTAGTCAAGCTAGTGTCAGGTTTGAATCACAGACCAAAGTGTCAGTTCCCAAAAGAAACTCCAACTTGAATACCTGGTTAAAACAAAATGTTCTCAATACTTTCTATTTGTTAAGCTGTGGAGCCTGACCAGCTACCTGCAGCATCCAGGCCTGATTCCCCATGGACCTGCAGGTTCCCTGCGGCCCTGTGCTGCCTACAGATAAGGCCTATTGTGCTATAGCAGCATCACTGCAAAATGCCCCAGTTCTTGTTTGCATTTCAAACAAGTTTCCTCAAAATGTCTTCTGATGAAATGAAGCTCCAATTCTAGTTTCTTACCCACAGACCACAGTCCTCATTACATTATGTGCTGCCCTTTTTTGTAACTGCATCATTTCATTCATGTATCCACATATTTATAAGTTAACAAAGCCAGTGGCAGTAGTGCACACCTTTGATCCCAGCACTGGGGAGGCAGAGCCAGGCAGATCTCTGTTGAGTTCGAGGCCAGCCTTGTCTACAGAGCGAGATCCAGAACAGACACCAGAACTACACAGAAAAACCCTGTTTTGAAACCCCTCCCCCCCAAAAAAAGTGTTAACAATACGGGAGTTGGAGAGATGGGGCTCAGTGGCTAAGAGTGTTGCCTGTTCTTCGAAAGGATTCAGGTTCAATTCCCAGCACCCACATGGTGCTGTCTGTAACTCCAGTTCCAGGGGATCTGACATCCTCACATAGACATACATGCAGGCAAAACACCAATGCACATTAAATAAAAATAAATAAAAATTAAAAAACAGAGTTTAACATAAAGTGTTTATAAGTTTACTTCATAAACTTAGAGATATTTGGTGACCAGGCTTTTAACAGTTTGGTAGTATTTGAAAATACTAATTTCTATTTATTCTGATTTTAATCATTAAAGGGCTGACTTCCAGCAAGATTAAAGTGCTAAGAAAAAATGACAAGTCCTTTATTTAAGCTTTATTAACAGCTCCATAGTGGAAAAAGAAAAAAGAAAAAAAAAAGCCTCTACCTTTGCAAAAAGAACAAATATGTCCCACAAAGGGACTGAATCAGTATCAACAGACATATCCCAGGCTACATGTGAGTCAGACTCCGCCTGCTCACACAGAAAGTGATTTGCTGGGTTGATGCTTAAGAACACTTCAAATTTACCCACTTAAAAGTCTAAGAGTACTTACTTCTACCTATTAATTATTGATTTTAGACAAGCTCTCACTAAGTAGTCCCAGCTGGATTGGAACTTGCCATGATGATTACCGTTATTTTTGAAACCGAAGACAAACTTGGAATACCTTTTATTATTAAAGAAAAAAATCACCTCAATATATTATAAAACAGTCTGTGTCTACAGTGTAAGACTGTGGCTAGGGAGGGGCTCAGTGAACACAAACCCATGCTGCGCAAGCATGAGGACATGAGCTGGAATCCCCAGCATCTGTGTAAAGCCAGGTGTGGCTGCACTTGCCCGCAGCGCCAGAGCTGGCCGATGCAACCCAGCAGGTGTGGCTGCATGTGCCCGCAGCGCCAGAGCTGGCAGATGCAAACCAGCAGGCCCTTGGAACTTGCTGGCCAGCTACCTAGCTCAAACATGGAGCTTCAGGTTCAGTAAGAGACCCTGAATCGAGGCAATAAGGAAGACAAAATAAGGCAGCGATAGAAGAGATACTTGGGCTGGGTGCAGTGGCACCTGCCTTTAATCCCAGCACCTGATCCAGAGGCAGAGGCAGGCAGAGCTCTCTGAGTTCAAAGCCTGGTCTACATAGTGAGTTCCAGGACAGCCAGGACTAAGTAGAGAGATCCTGTCTAAAAAAAATAACCACAAAAAGATTCTCAGTCTCCCTTTGCCTTCCACATGTGTATGCCTACACACTTGCATATATGTGTTCAGATACACTAAAAAGATCGCACATCTCAGAAAGCACAATTTTCTGAAAAGCTTAAATTGTACATATTTTAAAGTAATTTCTCACATTTTGCATTCTAAAATAAAAGCTATTCCAAAATCATTATTTTTGTTCAAAGTCCATGTAACTGTCTCCAAATCTTGAAAAGACAAGTGGTAGCCTTAATGGTCATGCTGACCTAAGTTACAGGCTTGTCCTCCTCTATCGCCTCAGAACAAAAACCATCTAATGCTGGACTAGGCTAAATACTAAAAGAATATTTACCATAAAAAAGGGTTTGAAATCCAATAGTCCCAAAAAAGCTGAAAATCATCAAAAGTTATGTAATATTTTAATTATAAAATATTTTATTTATTTTATGTATGCAGGTATTTGCCTACATGAACGTCTATATACTACACGCCTATCTGGTGCCCAAGGAGGCTAGAAGAAAGGGTATTGGATCCCTACAAACTGGAGTAACAGATGGTGTGAGCCACGTGGGTTTTGTGTAAAAACTCAGGTCCTCTGCAGGAGCAGAGTGCTCATAACTGCTGAGACATCTAGCAACCGAAAAGCTACATAATTTTTTTAAAAAATTACATTAAGACTCCAATACTAAAATATTGTCCCAAATAAGAGTTTCCTTAAATATCAGATATAAATAAAAGATACACTTTACCTTTTGCAATATATAAATGCCCTGCAGATAAACCAGCTCTCAGATAGAGCACTTTGTCTGTACATCCCTCAGAGTTCCACAGAAAGATGAATGACAAGTTCAGTTTTCACTTTTCTTTTGTGTGTGTATGCTTGCACATGTATGCATTGCGCATGGATGTGTATGTAGAAGCCAGAGGTCTTTAGGTATTTTATGGAATATTATTTTAACTGTGTAAAGGTGTGTTACAACTGTTTCTACTGCCTTTGTTAACGATACAAAGATGTGTCACATTTGTTTGATTAAACAAAATTAACCTGGGGTCAGGAGGCTGCATCAGCAACTAGCTGACAGGAAGTGGTAGGAAGGAACTAAATGTAGCCAGGGTTCTTTAGTGGGGGCCTGAGCAAAAAGATGGCCTTTTTTCAGGAGACGTGAACAAGGAGAGGAGGTTAGCTACTTGCTATTCTGAGCTAGCAGGATTTCACCTCAACCTTTGAATACTGAGTTCTATAGAAGAATAGAGATTTAGATAGTTTCCTTTAGCAGCCATGACAGAGCTGGTGCCTGAGGGAACAGAATTCCTGCCTGGCTGTGGAGCATCCAAACTGCTGCTGGAGTTGCAATTGCCAGTTGGGAGAGCAATTGCTTAAGGTGTAGCCACTGTGTTGAATGCAAAACAACAGGCTATCTTTCTCAATTGCTCTCAACTTTTTTTGAGATGGGCTCTCAGTGAACCTGGAGCCAACTGATTCACAGCTAGGCTGCCTGGCCATCAAGGCTCAGGGAATCCTCTTGTCTCTGCTCAGGAGCACTAGGATTATAAGCACACGCTGCTACGCACAGCACTTCACACAGGTGCAAGGGGTCTGAAGTCAGGTCTTCATGTTTACATGGCAATTTCTTCAACATTTTTTTCTGTTTTTGGAGAAAAGGTTTCACTGTGCAGCCCAAGCTTTTAACTCCAGCTCATTGAGAACCCAGTGTCCTAGGTTCAAGTCTCAGCTTTCCCTCTCTAAGTAAGAGATATACTTGCTCAAGGAACCTTTTCCATTACTCCTCCTTCAGCTTCCTGAGTGCTAAGATTACAGGTGTGTCATATCTTGCTTCAAATTCAGTTCCTGGTAAAGGACAGTCTTTCAAAACAGATAGTAAAGAGTCATAATGGATGTCATGAGACTCAGGTGGCTGACTCACTATTATCAAAGTCCACAGACCATCACTAGCCAGTTAGTTGTTGGTGATCAACACTAACAAAGGGCTATATGCTCCTAAAAGTAAGTGCCCACTTGGATTTTATATGTAGCACTGACTTAGATGCTATAAAGACAGATATGTGGCACATGAGAGGTAGACTATGCTAGAAGAAGGATTCTAGAGTCAGTCAGACCCAACAAAGAATCTTGGCTTTACCTGGTACTATCTGGCCTTGCAAAAAGTGTCTTCATTCTTGGCTGCAGCTCTCCTATATATAAACAAGCAATTCTTTGTGAAAATACCACGGGGACTCAATGATTTAATATAACATCATTAGTTAACATGGGGCTAAGCATTTAGAAATAGTCCTTAATTCTCTTTCCTTAAACTACCCATTTATCCCTCACAGGATAAAGACTAGAGTTACCAGTGTGGTGGCGCACACCTTTGATCTCAGCACTGGGTATGCAGAGGCAGGTGGATCTCTGAGTTCTGGGCCAACCAGGGCTACACAGTGAGACACTATCTCAAAAATAAATAACTAAAAATAATTCATCAATTTCTCTGATTTTGCTTAATAACATGACAATCAGGGAGCTCTCCCAGCTAACAACAAAATGCCATTGCTTACCATAATTCATATCCTATAACTCATGAAGAAAACTTTTAACTATTCTGGCCTTGAAACAGTTTGGTTGAGTTTTCATAAATAGCCATTTTCAATTCAACTTTTACCAAGGCACAAAAAAACAAGAATAGATGCTTTCTGTAAATTCATTTACTGCCTTGAGGCTTTCAACTGCTTAATAGTTACAGAAAACTGCCTTAAAACACAAGAAAAACATTTATATGTCAAATACAAAATAAGATTTTACATTATTCTTAGCTGACATCTAAATGCTAATTCCCATTCTTGTGGTTTCCCACCACCCCATTATCTGCACTCAGTCTGTGCACACTTAGTACTTACTAAGCACTATTTCCATTTGCTAAGCCTGGGTACTTACTAAGCACTATTTCCATTTGCTAAGCCTGGGTACTTACTAAGCACTATTTGCACTTGCTTCTGTATCAGGTTTACTTTGCTGTACAGTTTCTTGAGAAAACTAACTGACTTTGTCCAAGGAAGTCTCACTTTTTTTGAAAAACCAAAGCTGCTACAGTGTTTCCAGATCTACCTCCAAAGCTGAACTTGGGTGTTGGCAGCTCTTCAAAAAATTCAAATCCTATAAAACAAAAATTAAAATATCTGTTAGAGATATTTTGTACAACAATGTTCTTTCAAATCCTTTCTAAAGCTGTGATTTCATACTGGTGACCAAACTTAATTTTGCAGGGTTTTTTCCTACCTCAACCCCCCAATATTTTTTTAAATGAACAGGGAACGGAAAGGACCAAAAACAATCGGGAAGTCTTCCCCCCATCTCCTCTGGTCCTGCTCACCATTACCTCCCCACCACCTCCCTTATTCTATCTATTTCTCCATCTCCTTAGTAGGAAGCAGCTGCGACACACTCAATTTTTGCCATACGCCAGCACCACTACTACTACTACTACTACTTCTTCTTCTACTTCTTCTTCTTCTTCTTCTTCTTCTTCTTCTTCTTCTTCTTCTTCTTCTTCTCCTCCTCCTCCTCCTCCTCCTCCTCCTCCTCCTCCTCCTCCTCCTCCTCCTCCTCCTCTTCTTCTTCTTCTTCTTCTTCTCCTCCTTCAGTTTTTCTGAGACAGGGATTCTCTGTGTAGTTTTGGACTCTATCCTGGAACTCGCTTTGTAGACCAGGCTGGCTTCGAACTCACAGAGATCTGCCTGCCTCTGCCTCCGGAGTGCTGGGAGCCCAGCCCAGCACTGCTTATGTGGCTTTCTATGTAGGAACTCAATCACATCAGAAATATAAAGGCATGTAATACAGAAAAGTTAAATTACTTAAAGTAAAAATGAATTTGTAGATGATGAGAAGTTCTGGAAGACAGACTTCTTGTGGTTACATCACAATATGGGTGAAGCTACTGAACTGCATATTTAATTCACTATCTATCTATGGGTTTAGATGTATTTGGTTTTTCTGAGACAGGGCCTCATACAACAGAGGTTGGCCCTACGCTTTCTATATAGCCAAAGATGATCTTTAAACTCGTGATCCTCCTGCCTCCACCTAACAAATACTAGGATTAAAGGTATACACTGCCATGCCCAGTCTGAATTGTTCACTTAAAAACAGTTAAAATCGCCGGGCGGTGGTGGCGCACGCCTTTAATCCCAGCACTCGGGAGGCAGAGCCAGGCGGATCTCTGTGAGTTCGAGGCCAGCCTGGTCTCCAAAGCGAGTTCCAGGAAAGGCGCAAAGCTACACAGAGAAACCCTGTCTCGAAAAACCAAAAAAAAAAAAAAAAAAAAAAAAGTTAAAATAGTAAAAAATCATATGTGTTTTATCACAATTTTTAGAAAAAAAGATTAAACAAAAATTAATACCCAAACGAACTACTAACTGTCTTGGAAGAAATTATAACTTTCAGAGCACAGTATGCTTTTAAAAGAAACGATCATTGAGAACCCAGTGTTCTAGGTTCAAGTCTTAGCTTTCCCATCTCTAAGTAAGAGATATACTTGCTCAAGGAACCTTTTCCATTACCCTGAATTCTATTCAAAGATGACAGATAGCAAAATTTGCCACATGATTTTGTAAAGATTCAAATAAAGTAACTAGTGTTTCCCTCAACTATAAAAATAAGCTGTAAATACATTATTTTATGGGGTTTTTTCTTTGGGGGGGGGTTTGTTTTGTTTTTCAAGATAAGTTCTCACTATGTAGCTCTGGCTGTCCTGAAACTTGCTTTACAGACCCGCCAGACTCTGCCTCCCCAGTGCTGGGATTAAAGGTGTGTGCCACCACTGCCCAAGGCCAGCTTGGTCAACATAGTGAGTTCTAGCCAGGGCTATAAGAGAAACCCTGTCTCAAACAAACTAACTAACTAACTAACTAACTAACTAACTAACAAAAAGCCACTAGGGTATTTCAGTGGTACAACACTTGCCTCCTATATATAAGGCTTGGGTCTGGAATTGAAGCCCATAAAAATAAAATGATAAAACAAAGCTGAAAGGTCTCTAAACAACTAAACAAATACACTAGGCCTGAGTTTGATCCCCAGGACCCACATAATGAAAGGAGAGAACTGATTCCCATGGGTTGTCTTCTAACTGCCACATACACCACCCAGCTAAATAAACTGTAATAAAAGTATTTTTAAAAAAACATTTACATTGTATGAATAGTACTACTGAGGAAAACGGCACAATTCATTTCAAATATGGAAAAAAGAAAGAATCATTAAGGCCTGGTGAGACACTTGAACTCACAGAAACTATGGCAGCACACACAAGCCTAAACAGGTTCAAGCCAGATAGGGTCTCAGCACTAAGGGGGAAGTAGACACAGGCTCCCACTCAAGAATCTACCTGTAGTTGACACTCACTGGCAAAGAAAACAATTCAGTTTTCTCCAATGGACTCTCACTGTATTAACCACACTTCAGGATGAGCCCCATGTGCAGAAGTAATTGGCCAACACAAAACACATTCAATGGTTTTTTTGTAGACTGTCTCCATTACACTCTGTTTGAGCATTTTTGCTCGTTTATTTTTATTTCCATTTTTGTGGGGTTTTGTTGTTTTTTGTTTGTTTTTTTGGGGGGTTGTATGTGTTTCTTATGTGTCTTTTTTACTTTTAGATTTTGTTTGTTTTTAAAGAGAAAAAGAACAAAGTTGGGTACAGAGGTGGGAAGGATCTGGGAGGAATTGGGGGAGGGAAGGAAACATGATCAAAATACATTGTATGGAAAGAAGAAGACTGGTGAGGCAAGCTTCATTCTAAGTCAATGGATTATGGCACCAATCTGTGCAGCTAATATGGAGGCCATCAGCAGTGAAATGGAGCCGAGTACTCTGTTGCTGTCTTGCATATAAGTCTAAGCACCATTTTCTAAGTAACTCAATCCTAAAAGTCTCTAATGCTATGTAATTGTTTCTTTAATACCTCCTATTATAACATTTTCCGTGTTTTAATTCTCCATTTAGCTCTAAAACTGAATATAGAGTTTACTCAACAGTTCTCAGAAACACTGACATTGTAAAGCATAGTATTCCAGGCTAAAGTCTGTTCCTCATTACCAGAGACTGCCAAACATGTTTCTGTCTGCTGGTTCCAGGGTAAAAGAGAACACCTGTATTTAAGAACCAGGAGAGGAACTTGCCCCACACAGCAGAACTCTTAGCATTTATTAAAACTGTCAAGTTCTGGAAAGAAGAAGGACTGTTGATAGAACCCAACCGTTCCTTTTTTTTTTTCCCTTACGTTTTTTTGAGAGACAGGGTTTCTCTGTGTAGCCCTGGCTGTCCTGGAACTCGCTCTGTAGACCAGGCTAGCCTCGAAGATCTGCCTGCCTCTGTCTCCCAAGTGCTAGGACCAAAGACATGTGCCACAACTGCATTCTGAATAAAATAAATGTACACGGAAGATAATAAAACTAATGACATAAAACAACAGATAGTAAATCACATGCAATTCTTGTTTTCTGGAAGTTATAATGAAGCCAAAAGCTCACATTTTTAGCAATAAATGCTTCAGGTTTTCCCTTATAAAACCTGCCAAAGCCACTGAATGTACACGAGAGGACATAGGACATGTTCTCTCTGCCTAGTCCTTTAATACTAAACAAGAGAAAACAAAACCTAAGATAGGTACATGCAATATGATGCAACATGGTTACAGAAAACAGTGTGCAGTCAACTCTCTTGAGGTAGCTGATTTCTCATCAACTTGTGAGAGGGGGGTCAAAATATAACCAAATATTTAGTCTACAATCATTTACTTAATACTTCATCCTTAAAATTCTTTCCATTCCTCTATAAAATAATTAGTACTAACCCTGAAAAAAGACTCTAAGGAAAAGGTAAACAAATACCACATAAATTTCAAAGTACTTTCCCAGGAATGCCTGTGTGCTACATGGATAAACTAGAAGTAAACTACTTCTTAAAAGTGGCCAGGAAAGAGTCTTAGAAAACTCCAAACGTTCTATGAATAGAGATAGGTAGGTACTCAATGCTCACAAAGCCCCCCTTTAGCAGACATAGCACTAATATTATCTTTGGCTAATGGGGCAGAAAAAAAAAATTCTGTCTGGCATAGAAAAAAACGCAGAAGGAGATAGGTGGTGGTGGCACATGCCTTTGATCCCAGCACATGGGAGACAGTGGCAGATGGATCTCTTTAAGTTCAAGGCCATCCTGGTCTACCTGGTCTACAGACTGAGTTCCAGGATAGCTAGGCCTACACAGAGAAACCCTGTCTCAAACTGCCTCCCCCACCCCCACCATTGAAAAAGGCAGAAGGGAACTTCCTCAAAAATTAGTATGTAGAACTATTATTAATTCTCCATTTCATTTTTGTGCAATGTTAAAAATAATTGCTCCATATACACTGGAAATAAAAAGACAAATCCTAAATACTTAAATGACCCCTAAAGCAAACCATAAAACTACATATAAAATTAAAACATTTGCCGGGGAGTGGTGGTACACACCTTTAATCCCAGCACTCAGGAGGCAGAGGCAGGTGGATCTCTGTGAGCCTGAGGCCAGCCTGGTCTACAGAATGAATTCCAGGATAGCCAGGCTAAACAGAGAAACCCTGTCTCAGAATACCAAAAAAAAGTAAAATATTCATCCTGTACTTCCATTTACATGAGTATAGATTCACAAATAAATTAGTTTACTAAAGTCAAAAGCACAACACATGTGCTCTGAGTCTCGGGATAGCAGATCATACAGCTTAAATAAAAGATTGCATTGCTTAAATAAAGAGCTTGATCTTTACAAGCCCATAAATTTTAGTACTTAACTGCCAGGATTTCTGGGAAAAATGTTAAAAAGGCCTCTGGATCCCAACCAATTTACTTCTCTGTGCTTTGTATACACAGTTCAAAGTTATTACTAAGGTCATTAACACAGAAGAAAAGCAGGCAATTCCCACTACCAGAAATGTAAGCTACAGTACCCAACAGGGGAGCCAAGCAGAAGTATAAAAACCCAAAGAAGTACACATTCAAACCCGTGCAACCAGTTACCTTCACTGAACACATCTAGCAACTCTGCCTTGGTCCAATTACATGAGGTTATTAGAAAAAAGCCTTTTACTTCCAATACCCTGGAGAGAGACATCACATATTGCTTCCTCTTCTCAACTGCATTGTCAGGATTAAGACTTATGGCATCGAAAGTCCCTTTGTCAACACAAACATGAAATCCAGACAGCTTTGTGGAAAGACTCAAAAAGTCTTCTACCTATATTAAAAATGAATGCCCATATGAGAACAATTAACACAATCTTTAAATAACTTAAGTGACAACATGTAAAAGGTTACAGATAAAAGAGCCCATTATGATGGCATTTTACATATAATAAACATATTTTCAACTTTATAGCTAACTTTTATGTGCTTTATTTCCAAGATCATTAAAGCCAAAATTAGAAGAGAGGTTGACAGTGTTTCCTGGACATTTCAAATATCTACAAATTTGGAAACAAATCAAAGCCAGGAATACTGGCTCGAAAGCCCAGTTTACAAAAAGTTGATTCTTATGAAAATATTTAACATATTTATCAAAATGACAAAATTTATTTGGAACCCAGGTCACTACAAATAAGACTTATGACTTACACTCCCACTTGAGTGGCCTAAAGTAAATAAAGAATTATCAAAAGTTCCTTTGTTTTGATTCAGCAGCTCACAAAGCTACTAATGGGTATCACAAAAGGCATGAAGCTTAAGAAAGTAAAGGACAATTTAAACTATGATTACTTAACTTGGTAAATGTCCTGCACTTTAGCTTTTAATAATTCATCAGCATCCTGTTTTTAACAACCTAATACGACTGCAGAATTTGAAATAGTGATGTGCCTCTATTTTATAATACAAAATTTACTAATGAATTCAATTCTAAAATTGTTTTCGTTGGGGAGCTCGAGATAGGGTTTCTCTGTTTAACAGCTCTAGCTATCCTAAAACGCATTTTATAGACCAGACTGGCCTTGAACTCACAGAGATCTCATCATTCATACAATTTTAGAAAGAAAGTAAATATCTAAAACAACCCTCAAAATGAATAGCATACATTGGCATGTATGCGTCTTTTGTTGTTGTTGTTGTTTTAGCGACAGGGTCTCACACATGTAGCACAAGCTCTCCTAGATCTGCTGAAACTGCAGGTACATGCCAACCAGCACAACACACTCGCATGGCCTTCTATTTGCAGATGGAACCTTTCCTGCTCTCATACCCAAAATACAAAATTCACCATATCTGAATCAACATAAAGACTCCATGAAGAGCTCACTCTGTGGGGACATCCTCACCCCAAACACCTGTACAAAACATTCTTGTATTCCAAAGGTATTTTATGACATCTGTACTTACAGATATGGGATATAACAGTAAGTGAAAGAGTAAAGAAATCTGTGTTAATATAGTAGCCTTGTATTTTATAAATGGAGAAATAAATAGCAAATAAGCTGCTACTGGTTTTTTTGTTGTGTTTTGGTTTTTTGTTTTGGTTTTTTCAAGACAGGGTTTCTCTGTGTAGCTTTGCGCCTTTCCTGGAACTCACTCTGTAGCCCAGGCTGGCCTCAAACTCACAGAGATCCACCTGCCTCTGCCTCCCAAGTGCTGGGATTAAAGGCGTGCACCACCACCACCTGGCCTAGCTGCTACTGTTTAAGAGCATCTTCCAGAATACACACATTAGAAATCTAAACACAGTCATATGTTAACAGTATTTGGAAGAGACCCTCGGAAGGTGATTGTGTCATGAGGCCTCTCTCTTCATCAACAGATTAACGGGCTAATGAGGGATTGGTTTTATAATAAAAGCAAGCTTTCTCTGGCTCACTTGCTCTGCTATGAGGCATGAAGAAGGCCCCTCATCACTTCATGTAAGAATCATCCTGGACTCTCCAGCCTAGAACTGTGGGCTTAAATAAACTTCTATGCTTTATAAACTACCTAGTCTATGTTATTCAGTCATAGCAACAAAAAGCTAACTAAAACATAAACTTAAGAAAATATTTCAAGGAGCTACAGAGATAGCTCAGTAGTTAGGAACACATACTGCTCTTGTAAAGGACCCATATCAGGTGGCTCATAAATGCCTGGAGCTTGAGCTCCAAGATCCAACACTTCTGGCCCCCACAGGTACCTGCACTCACATGCACATACTCATACAGAGACATGTAATTTTTTAAAACTTTATAGTATTTCAAGGTTCAGACTCAGTGGGTAAAGGCCTTTGTCACCAAACTATAGAATCTGAGTTGATCTTTAGGACTGACATGACATCGAGAACCAACTCCCACAAGTGTCCTGTGACCTACACAAGTATAGATGATAATAATACTATTTCAGATAGGGCCAGCAAGATGGCTCAGCAAGTAAAGGCTTGCCACCAAACCTAAGTTTGAGCCCTGAAATCCACATGATGAAAGGAGAGAACCAACTCCAGCAAGTTGTCCTCTGATCCCAATCCATGAACACATATATGTCTATACAAGTACATATACAAAAATAAATAAATGCAATTTAAATTTTAAAAAACAAATTACAAATGCTTAATAATGGTATACCATGAAATATCTTTTAAAACATATTTTAGATAAAGTGTTATTAAGAAAACAAAAACTGGGGCTGGAGAGATGGCTCACCAGTTAAGAGCACTGGCTGCTCTTCAGTGGCTCCAGGTTCAGTTCTCAGCACCTACATGGCAGTTTACAATCACCTGTAACCCAAGATGTAGGGGGTCTGCAGCCCTCTTTTGGCCTTCCCAGGCAAAACATTAATACACATAAAATAAGTAAATCTTAAATAAAATAAAAATAGAGCCTGAGCTCAGTAGATGAAGGCACTTGCCACCAAACCCAACTGAGTTCAATCCCTGGAGCCCACATGGTGGAAAGAGACCCTCCACTGTGCACTATGGCACGTGTATCCGCCCACCACACACACAATAAATACATGAATGGAATTTTAAAGAGAAAAAGCTGAGCATGGTGATACATGCCTATAAGTCCAGCACTTGGGAAAACAGAGTTACAGAAGACCAGAAGTTTCAGCTACATAGCATGCTAGAAGCTAGCCTGAACTATAGAAGATTCTGTCTCAGTAGCATAAAACAAAACAAAAAACCATGAGCCATCCAAAATGGTGCATATCTATAATTCTGCCTTCAAAAAGTAAAGGCAGTGGGATTCACAAGTCTTAGGCCATACTACACTACAAAAGGACTCACTCCTAATCTTGAGGGAAAAAAAAAAGAAAACAGTAATAAGACTGTGAGTGACTAGAAGATAAATCTTTTGTTATTTAAAAAAAAAAAGCATCCTGAGATGGGCTTGGTTGTGCACCCTTTAATCCCAGCACTCAGGAGGCAGAGCAAGTGGATCTCTGATTTTGTGGTAAGCCTGGTCTACAAAGAGAGTTCCAGAACAGCCAGACCTACACAGAGAAACTCTGACTGAAAAAAAAAAATAAACAGAAAAAAAAACAGTGATATAAGCCAATTTTTGTTTTAGAGCACTCTATTTTGTAGCATGAGAGTGGTGAGGTAAAATGATTTGAAAGAAAAAAGAAACAAGGTTGACTCCTTGGATTTTAGGTGTTCTAATTGCCTTCTGTTGCTGTGAGAAAACATCCAGACCAAAAGCAACTCTGGAAAGGAAAAGACTTATTTTATCTTACATTTCCAGGCCAGGAAGGCAGGGCAGGAACTCAAGGCAGGAACCTGAAGCTAGCTTCACTTTCTGACTTTCTCACAGGCTGATGATTGGCTAGTAGCTTCCTTATATAGCCCAGGAATGTTATGGATGGTGCCACTCACAGTGGGCCGGGCCTTCCTGTATCAATTAATAATCAAGACAGTCCTCAAAGGTATGCCCACAGGCCAATCTGATCTAGACAATTCTTTGAGGCTTTCATCTCTGATGACTTTAGGCTATGTCAAGTTGATAATTAAAGCCAAGTGGGACAAAGAATTAAATAACAGTGTTTGGTATGATAACATTCTATGTATTTGTAAGATTTTTTTTTTAATATAAGTCATTTCCTTTGAGAAATAGAGGCAACCAAATCCTGCCATAATCACAGTTGAAGTTGCTGTAGCCTCCAGTTCTAGTAGAACCTGAGACAAACAACAGCACTACAGAGACACCCAGCATTTATAACTTTTTGATCTGATTAATCCAGAGTCAGGTACTGTGTATGTTTCTGCAAACTTGGACGGTATTGTATGAACACACACATATATACATACACAATGAAGAAGACACTTTGCCACAAAGCACAGTGGTACATGCCTATAATCCAGCTAGACTGAGGCAGGAGATAGCAAGGCTGGCCTGGGTTACACAGTAGGACCCCTTGTAAATACACACAAAGAAAAAGTAATTTCCCTAAACTAACTAGATTAAATTTTTTTTTTTTTAAGATTTATTTATTTATTATGTATACAGCATGTATGACTACAGGTCAGAAGAGGGCACCAGATCTCACCACAGATGGCTGTGAGCCACCATGTGGTTGCTGGGAATTGAACTCAGGACCTCTAGAAGAGCAATCAGTGCTCTTAACCTCTGAGCCATCTCTCCAGCCCCTAAATTTTTAATAGTTACTTTCAAGTGTTTCAGTTTAGATTACTTATAATTGATCCTTAATTTACAAATTCAAAAAGGTTAGCAGATTAACATACTTTAAAAACATTTAAACATTACAGCTTATTTTAAAATGTTATTTAAAATATTATAGTATTATAAGTAATAAATTACCTTCAAGTTAATGTTAGATAGACCTTCTTTCTCTAAAATGCTTGCAGAAAGCTTAATTGCAGAAGGAGAATAATCAATCCCAGTTATATTAGAGAAACCATGTTTCACCTAGAGACAGAGAAATAATTTCATAATTTAGTTTGAATCTTTTAATATGTTTTGCTTATGAACTATAATATTCCTTGAATCTAGAATTGTTTTAACTTTGTCGTAGATCAAATGTTATAGAATATCCAATTATTCACATTTAAATTTTATTGTACTCTAAATAGAAAGCAAAAGCTTAAATTTATGACAATTTTCTGCTTTTGTAATATATGATTTCTTTTCAAAAAGAAATTCATTTTCTCAAAAATAATGTACAAGCCCTTGGGCTGACAATGTTGTAATATTAATTTCTGATGCTGCTATACTCAAATTCACACATGAATTTAGCTCACATTTTACTTAACCCAATTAAAAGAATAAATTAAATGCATATGTAGTGAGTTGGTTTTCCTTCAGCAAATTATAAATTATTTAATTCTCTACCAGTCATATAATTAAGTCACCTTATATTTGTATAGTACTTCTTCACTTTTTCAAGTATTTCACACATTCAATTGGATCTCTGTGAAAGGCCTGTGAGGTAGGCTAGGCAGGTACCAGTTTCTGCAGGAACTGCAGAGGGATCACTGGCCTTGAGGGTTTACTACCTACTGGGAATAAATCCTCCTCAGATGTATAGCAAAGGTATGGTGGCTGCCATCCTTAACCCACCCCAATTATGCTGTTCATTATACTAAAAGAATTTCAAAGGAAAACAACAAAGGTTGCAAAATATGGTATGGTCTGAAATTCTTCTGGTGGGCATCACTATTCACTAAATGGTTACTTTCTTCAAAAGTTAACCTAGTGCCAGGCATGTGGCATACGTCTTTAATCCCAGAACTGAGAGGCAGAGGCAGGAAGAATTCTGAGTTTGAGGCCAGCCAAGGCTACACAGGGAGACTGAGGTCTCAAAAAAAAGGTAGCCTACATGAAAGACTTACTTTTAAAAATAACTGTATTTTGAAAACACTTTTCAACCCTAAGTGACTGAGGTGCATCTAAACTCAAGAGACACACAAAACCAGCTATTTCCCAGATCATTTGCTTTCCCTTATGTCTTGTTTTTGAGACAGTCTCTCACTGGATAGTCTAGTCTTGCTTCCAACTTTCTCTATCGCCTAAGCTTAGGCCTAAGCTTACCCCTACTTAGGATCCTCCTGACTCCACCTCATTTGTACAGGGACTACACATGAGTACCACCACACTCACCTTGATTTGTTTTTTATTATTATTATTTATTTTTAAATTACGTGCATTGGTGTTTTGCCTGCATGAATATCTGTGTGAGGGTGTCCCTCAGAACTGAAGTTACAGATAGTTGTAAGCTGCCTTGTGGGTGCTGGGTATTGAACCCAGGTCCTTTGGAAGAGCAGTCAGTGCTCTTAACCACTGAGCCATCTCTCCAGCTCTTATTCCTGTTTGTGATCTAAAGGTCTACTATCCTATCCTCTTAGCTGCCTCTACCTTTACCATTGGAGATGTTCGTTTTCCTCTCATTTCTCACAATTCCTTCCCTACGCGACTGAAAACCTAAGATGATTCTACTGACTTGTGGCAGTTCCTTCTATCATGCCTGTCGACTCTTCAGTACAACTTACAAAAATTATGCTGATGTTTTTGGGTTCCATTACAATCACTTAGAACCACAAACTATCACCAGTGTTTTTCATATTCAGTTCCTACACTGAATATATTCCCCAAAGTGAAAAATAAATGGACGTTCTAAGAAACAATACACAATCAAAAAGACAAGGATGTTAGAAACTGATGTTAGAAACAGGCCCCAACCAGGTAGTGGTGCACACAACTTTAATCCCAGCACTCAGGAGGCTGAGGCAGGTGGATCTCTGAATTTGAGGCCAGTCAGGTCTACAGAGTGAGTCCAGGACAGCCAGGGCTACACAGAGAAACCCTGTCATGAAAATAAATTAAAGACTTTTGGCTAAGAATTGTAATTTTTGCCGGGTGGTGGTGGCGCACGTCTTTAATCCCAGCACTCGGGAGGCAGAGGCAGCCAGATCTTTGTGAGTTCAAGGCCAGCCTGGTCTACAGAGCGAGATCCAGGAAAGGCACAAAGCTACAAAGAGAAACCCTGTCTCAAAAAACAAAACAAAATTGTGATTTTGTTTGTTTGTTGTTTTGTTTTGTTTCAAGACAGGGTTTCTCTGTGTAGCTTTGGAGCCTGTCCTGGAACTTACTCTGTAGACCAGGTTGGCCTCGAACTCACGGAGATCTGCCTGCCCCTGCCTCTCAGTGCTGGGATTAAAGGCGTGTGCCACCACCACCCAGCTAGAACTGTGAATTTTAATAACTAACCAAAAAATAATAACAGGAGCCGGGCAGTGGTGGCGCACGCCTTTAATCCCAGCACTCGGGAGGCAGAGCCAGGCGGATCTCTGTGAGTTCGAGGCCAGCCTGGGCTACCAAGTGAGTCCCAGGAAAGGCGCAAAGCTACACAGAGAAACCCTGTCTCGAAAAAAAAAAAAATAATAATAATAATAACAGAACTGCAATGTACAATAATTAAACCAAGAAACTCAAGTGTAAGTTTGATGGATTAGATACAGCAAATATATAGATATATATGTGTATTTATTTTAGTATGTAAGTGTACCTATGCATGTGCGCACGCACACACACACAGACACAGACACACAGACAGACACACACACACACACACACACACACACACACTTTTTAAAGACAGGCTCTCACTGTGTAGCCCTAACTGGCCTGGAAATCATTATATAAATAAGGGTGGCAGTGAACTCAAGAGATTCACCTGATTCTGCCTCTGGAGTGCTAGGATTAAAGGCATGTGCCACCACGCCCAGTTTGTGCAAACATTTTTTTTTATTTTAAAGAATTAGTAAAGAAAACATTCCTGTTCAAAACAGAATGACAAAAAGATCTAACATGCACAGAATATGAGATGTAAACTATTTACAGATATAGATATTCAGAGAAGAAGAAACCAGAATGGGCAAGAGTAAGAAATAGCAAATGACTGAGATTTTTCCAATACTGAACAAAGGGTCCTAAGCACTGCCAACGCAAACTGAGATGATAACAAACAAAACCACCCACATCATAGTATTTCTGATGAAAACCAAAAAGAGAAAAATCTCGAAAGCACCAGGGAGTAAGAACAGAGGAACAAGAAGTCAGATTACTTCCTAAGACTAACAAGGGTGGTATACAGATGACAGAGTCATATAAAATGGGAGCCAGAAGATAAGCAAAGAAAAATACCAATCTAAGATTAGTAGCAAAACCACCTGTCAAAAATGTAGAAAATGCAAAGATCAGCAGTGGTTGTTAACAAAAAGATATCACATAACACAAAGGAAAATATATACCAAGCTGGGCGGTGGTACCACATACCTTTAATCCCACCACTTGAAGGCAAAGGCAGGTGGTGGGATTAAATCTCTGTGAGTTTGAGGTTGGCCTGGTCTACAGAGCGAGTTCCAGGACAGCCAGGGTTACATGGAGAAATCCTGTGTTGAAAAACCAAAAAGAAAAAGAAAATATATACCAACAGCTAAGTTCACTTACCCAAATCTCAGAATCAAGGCTGGAGAGATGGTTCAGTTGGTAAAGTGCTTGCTGCACAAGGGTTGAAGACCTGAGTTCAGAACCTCAGAGCCCACATGAATCTCAAATAGCCAGATGGGATATGATGCATCTGTAATCCCAGTAGTCCTAGAGCAGTGGTTCTCAACCTGCGGATCGCAACCCTTTTGGGGGTCACAAATCAGATATCCTGCATATCAGATATTTACATTATGATTCTTAACAGTAGCAAAATTATAGTTACGAAGTAGCAATGAAATGATTTTAAGGTTGGGGCCACCACAACATGAACTGTATTAAAGGGTTGCAGCATCAGGAAGGGTGAGAACCACTGATCTAGAGGAAGATAGAAGTAAAGACAAGACAATCCCCAGAGTATGCAGCGGAGAAGAAGAGACCCTGTCTCAATCAAGGTGAAATGTGAGAACAAACACCCAAGGCTGTTCTAACATGGACACAAGCACCTTGACACATACATGGACATGCATGCATACACACACACATACACAAACATTTAAAAATATAATATAAAAAATACTTTGAATCAGATGTGGTGGTACACACCTTTGATCCCAGCACTCAGAAGGAAGAGACAGGTAGATCTCTATGATTTTTTTAACTAAAAACAGCTGACAATTTTATTTTCATATTTCACAATACAAATGAAAACTGTACTTTTTTTATCCCACTTTTCTCCTTCAAAACTATTCTGTCTGCTAGGAAGGGGGAAGCCTTCCTTGTCATAGAGCTTAGAAGACACTCAGGTTCAGCACTGTAATCTTCTGGTGAAACAGAACAAGAAATAAAAAACTGATGAAGAGCCCCTCTACTCTGTCTGGCCAACCCAAGTGGGCACCATCATAGGGCAAGCAGGAGGTCTCATCATTGGAGGTCCAGGCATCATGGGCATATGTCCTCTCACAGGTAGCCTCATTACTGGAGCAGGTCCTCCAGGCATCATCCCAGGAGGAGGAGGGCCCATCATAGGCATCGTGGGAGTGCCTACTGGTGAGAATATGGAGAAGTTTAAACTCATATTTACTGCTGGTAGAAATATAAGAAAGCAGCCACTGAAGAAAACAACCTAATGGTTCCTTACATCCAGCAATTTGACTCTGCAATTCTAGTTCTATGTAAATACCCAAAAGAATGAGACTCTATTTCCACACAAACTTATACACAAATTTTCTACAATAGTAAAGCAAGAAGAAAAAAATCTAAAATCCATCAATGAATGGATAAACAGGCAGTGGCATAGCCATACAATGGAATATTATTCAGCCACATAAGGGGATGAGTCCTGACATGCTACAATGCTGATGGGTCTTTTTAAAAAGTATGCAAGGGAAAGAGCCCGACACAAAGGCCACATATGAAATATCCAGAACAGACAAACCAGCTAATATGGTGGCACAAATCTGTAATTTCAACACTTGAGAGGC